ATGCATTCCCCAAACCATACATCTCAACACTAGAAGCCCCAAAACACTGAACTCCCGAAGCCTTATTATAAGCTCTAAGCCCACCGAGATCTCAAACCATAAACCCTCCAACATCCCGACCTTTGGCAACTTTAGCCCAACCCTCGTGACAGGAAAACCTTCGCAGCCCTGGGGCGCCCTCCCCAGAGCCCGTGCTTCGGCTGCAAGTTATTATTATCGTTATTATCTTCATCATTTCTCTTTATTATTTTTTCTTCTTATTACTATTCTTGTTGGTATGAGTCTTAGTATGGTTTGTCATTGTGTTTATTATGTTTATTATTATGTGCAGCATTATTATGAGTATAACCATAGTATAGTATACCCGCCAACCCTGAGTATGGGATCCAAGGGGTAAATTTCAACGGATATTCTGAGATCGCAATCTGTTTCGTTCCTGTTGTGACCTAGGTCGCTATGCAGAAGTGTCGACCATTCCTTTGTGCTATATAACGGTCAGTGCGCTGTAGCGAAAAAAAGCTAGTGCAGTAAAACCGCCATGGTAGTGGTGGGAAGAGTCAGGACAAGTGGAAATTTACCACACCAATAACAGGGAAAATGATTCAATGTCAGCGGCTTTACTGAACTGACTCCGCATGGCCCTTTCAATCCTGACTACAGCATTTGTATCAGCATGCCAGTAGTTATCAGCAGTTGCGATGTCAAACGCAGCATCGTCATCATCGTCATCATCATCATCGTCATCATCATCAACATCGTCATTATCATCACCATAGCCATAACCATAACAATAGTCATCATCATCATCATCACCATAACCATAGCCATAACCATCACCATCATCATCATCGTCATCACCATCATCATCGCCATCACCATCATCTCCATCATCACCACCACCATTACCACCACCATCATCATCGTCATCATCATCATCATCATCACCATCATCATCATCATCGCCACCATCTTCATCATCATCATCATCGCCATCGCCGCCACAATCGTTTCCTCCGCCATCACCACCGTCACCACCACCGTCACCAGCAGCAGCAGCACCGCCAGTGTCACCAGCAGCAGCAGCAGCAGCAGCTGCAGCAGCAGCAGCAGCAGCACCAGCAGCACCAGCAGCACCAGCAGCACCAGCACCAGCACCAGCACCAGCACCAGCACCAGCAC